GGCTTGGTATGAGTCAGATTCGATAGGATAGAAGTGAGTTAGGATTTTTATTGAGTGATTATACTATTCGGATTTTTAATTGGCTTTTCAACTATGTAAAATCTTATTTAGAAAGATTAAATGAATCTAGGCTTCTACTTATAACTTAACTATACTTGCATAGAGTCCTAAACCAAACTCACTATAATTGAGTTGAATCATAGTAACACTATAGGACAGAGTAGAACTGCCTCAGAGAGTTTCCAAGGCTATAAATCTTTAGAGAAGCAGACTGCTTCATCTTTCTACCATAGATTGGCTCATGAGTTTGAACCGTTGACCTTCTGGTTAACAGCTGAATGCTTTAACCACAGCCTTACCAGAGCTCCTGGACAGCTGTGCATATTCTTGAACATTATTCTGCTCTGTTTCTTTGTCATATCAATTATCACTTTTCCTGCACCCTGGATCTAAGGTACTTCAGAACTTTTGGGTGTTGGCAATACAGTCACTAATATTTCAAATAGTGTAAGCTCAGTGAGGGTGTTAAGTGTTTTCTTCTCTGTTGTTGTTGTTGTTATTTGCCATAGAGTCAGCCCTGACTCATAGCGACCCCTCCTTGGGTTTCTGAGGCAGTATCACTATGGAAGTAGGAATGCCCAACCTTCCTTCTTCTCTAGTCTGTTACAAATCAATGAGTACTAACAAGATGTACATCCATATGAATGCCAAGGTTGAGTAGGCAAATAATCAAATGTGCCTGAACTCACTATTTTAATGTTTTCTGACTATTTACTTAAAGCACTTATCAGTTATGCTTATTGTATAATGGGATTCATCTTTCATCTAGAAAGAGCATTATTAGCAATATTCACATCTTTCTAACTGATAAAGTAGCTGCCCACAAAGATGGAGTAGTACTGACCTTCTGTGGAACCTGGGCAAGGGCAGAGGCAATAAGATTGGCCTTTTCTTCTGTAAGGTTTTTGACCATTGATCCCAGAGAAAACACTACAACACCATGTTCACCTGAGCTCTGGACAAATTCTTCCATATCCTGCAGTGAGAAAAAAAATTCTATATTACAAAAATTCAGTATCACTGGAAGAAAATAACATTCACTTATAATTCTAAACACGAGAAATCAAATGAAGTGTCAAAGGCATTGTCAGACTTGTGCTGTCTTCTGACAAATACAAACATCTAGGCTCTGGTAGCTTAGTGCCTAAGGTACTTGACTGCTAACCAGAAGGCTGGAGGTTCAAACCCACCAGCCACTCCTTGGAAGGAAGTTTGGGCAATCTACTTCTGTAGTGATACCGTCTTGAAAACCCAAAGAGGGGTTGCTATGAGTCAGGTCCAACTCGATGGCACATAACAACAACAGCAACAAGTCTTTTTAAGAGGAAATATATATTGGAAGATGTATGGCTAAATACTATAATGAATGATTAACACTGAAGGCATGGAATCAAACCATTATACAAAAGGAAGAGATAATAAAAAGGCAGTTCTTTTTATGGATACTGTTAAACCCCAGATTTAATTTTAAGAAACAATCTAGTTGTTTGAAAACTCATAGAAATATTATTTGGAAGAAAGACCAAGTAAGGGTTTTCAGTTAGGCACCTAGACTCATTAGCATGACAATTTATATCCAAGAAATTATTACTAAAGTGATGTATTTTCCATGAGAATGGTCTTCAGGATTGTTTTCTCATGTTTACCTATCCCTAATTAATATGAGAGAACTGTGGTATATATGTTATTGTTGTAGTTAGGTGTCATCAGTTGCTTTTGATTTATAGCAATCTTATGTACAATAGAATAAAACACTTCCTTGTCTTGAGCCATCCTCACAATCATTGCTATGTTTGAGCCCATTTGTCTTAGGCTGAGTTCTCTAGAGACACAAAACCAATGAATGTATATGAAGAGAAAGAGAGAAAGAGGCCAGAGAGATAGAGTGTGTGTGATAGAGTGAACGAGACAGAGAGAGAGAGATTCCAAGGAAGAGACTCGTGAGATTGTAGAGATTGGCAAGTTCTATGGGTCAGATATCAGGCTGGAGGCTTCTCCTGACTCACATAACTGCAGGGGCTGATGAACCCAAACCCAATATCAGCAGGCAGTACAACAGGCTCCTGGCTTCAGAGGGTGATGAACCTAAGATTGGCAGGTAAGATGCAAGCTGCTGGTTTACAGGCTACAAAGGCAGAAATTCCAAAATAGCAGGCAATATGACAGGACACTGGTTCAAGTCCAAAGAAATGAGGTCAGATGGTGATGAACCAGATGCAGGATCCAGATTGAACAAAAAAAGCCAGACAGCTATGTCAGAATATCCATATCTATTATAAGCAGACCAACTCTGAGGAAACTCCTTTGTGACTGGCTGCTCATAGCAAATTTCATCTTGGAGGTGATTATAAAATATCAGATCTCATTATGGAGATGACAATGTCATAACTGCCAAATCACTGAGAATCATGGGTCACTCAAGTTGATACACAACCTTAACCATCACACTGTTTTTGCAGCAACTGTGTCAATCCATCTAGTTGAGAGTCTTCTTTTTTGTTGACCATCTACTTTATCAAGCATGATGTTCTTCTCCAGGGAACGGTGCCTCCTAGTAACATGTCCAAAGTATGTAGAAGTCTCATCATCTTTGCTTCTAAGAAGCATTCTGGCTACATTACCTCCAGACAGATGTGCTCATTCTCTGGCAGTACATGATAGATTGAATATTCTGCACTAATACCATAATTCCTAGGCATACATTCTTCTTTGGTGTTCCTTATTTATTATTCAGATTTTGCATGTGTATGAGATGATTGAAAATATCATGGCTTGAGTCAGGTGCATTTTAGTCCTCAAAGCAACATTTTAGCTTTTAACACTTTTAAAGAAGTCTTTTGCAGCAGATTTTCCCAGTGCAATGTAGCATATCATTTCTAGACTGCTGCTTCCATGGGTGTTGATTTTTAATCCAAGTAAAATGAAATCCTTGACAACTTCAATAATTTTCCATTTATCATGATGATTTATATTTTCCTTGGGTTAAGGTGTAGTTCATACTGAAGGCTATAGTCTTTGAACTTCATCAGTAAGTGTTGGAAGTCTTCTTTACTTTCAGCAAACAAGGTGGTGTCATCTGCATATAGATTGTTAATGAATCTTCCTTAACCCTGATGCCACATTCTTCTTCATACATAATCCAGGTTCTCAGATTATTTGCTCAGCATGCTTATTGGATAAGTATAGTGAATTTATACAACCTTGATGTACAACTTTCTGATTTTAAACCATGTAATATCTCCTTGTTCTATTTGAATGACTTCTCTTAGTCTATGTACAGGCTCTGCATCACTTCAATTAAGAGTTTTAGAATTCTCAATCTCCACAATATCATCCATAATTTCTTATGATTTACATAGTTGAATGGCTTTGCAAAGTCAATAAAACATAGGTAAACATCTTTCTGGTATTCTGTGTTTTCAGACAAGATCCATCTGACATCAGTAATGATATTCCTCATTCCATGTCCTCTTCTTAGTCTGACTTGAATGTTTGGCTGTTCCTTATGGATGTACTGCTGCAAGTATTTTTGAATAATCTGCAGCAAAACTTTATTTGCATGTAATATTAATGATATTATTTGATAATTAATTTATTCGGTTGCATCACCTTTCTTTGGAATCAGCAAAAATATGGATCTCTTTTACTTGGTTGGCCAGGTCATCATCTTCCAAATTTCTTGGCATAGATGAATGACCTCTTTCATGTTTGCGTCACTTTTTTGAGACAACTTATTAGTATTCCATCAATTTCTGGAAAATAGTTTTTCACCAATGCCTTCAGTGCAGCATAGACTTCTTTCAGTACATCTGTTCTTGATCATATGCTACCTCCTGAAATAGTTGAACATTAACCAATTCTTCTTGGTGTATTTTTTCTGCATATTCCTTCCATCTTCTTTT